GGAGTCTGGATCAGACGCAACGTTAGATGTTGTCAATCAACACCAAAATCTTGATAACAAAATTGCTTGTCTTTGAATTTTTGGTATTTTAACAGCTAGAAGAATTTACTCTATAGGGGGATTGAAGCTTGAAAAATTTTCATAGATGACTCCTAGGTCCCATGCCCATGTACACTATATACTCTCTGCAAAGGAGAATTATCAACTTGCTAGTTTAATTGAATGAGAACCATCTTTCTGGTGTATGTCATAACACTGCATTTGATCGGGATATTGTTTATGACATAGAATTTTAATATACTAAGTGACATATAAATCCGAACACCCAGTTTAAATGGTTTTATTTTAATAATGTTGGTGAATGTATTTATCTTACTGTAAATAACAAGTGAAAAAATTTTCAGCCTTATCAGTTGGACATTCCGGTTCTTATACTGCTTTTTTTTTAATTCACTAACGCTCTAAAAATGAATATTTCAGCCGCAGTAAAGAATCAACGTTGGCGGATTTTGGTTCTTGACATCCTTTACGATCGGTTACGATGCCTAGAGTACGGAGACCTGTACGATTTTGTCAACTTAGTGAGTTTGATAGGGGCCGTATAGTGGGACTTCGGGAAGCTGGACTTTCTTTTCGGGCAATTGCAGTTAGAGTGCAAAGAAGTGTAGACACTGTGGTTAGGTGTTGTCAGGCATGGCTTCGAGAAGGCCGTACGCAAAGAGCAAGGGGCACTGGACGCCGCCGTAACACAACAGACCGTGAAGATCGCCGCCTAAGATTATTGGCCTTAAGGGACCGTTTCTCCACTACCAGGTCCATTGCAAATGAATGGTTTGAAGAACACGGAAGACCTATTGGCATGCGAAGTGTTTACCGACGAATGAGAAGTTTTGGCTTGTTTTCATACCGGCCACACTGGGTCCTCCCTTTAACTCGAGAACACCGACGTAATCGCCTTGAGTGGTGCAGACAACGGTCACTCTGGGATCAAGAATGGAACAGTATTGTCTTTAGTGACGAGTCTCGATTTTGTTTAGGCATGCACGATGGTCGTGCCAGGGTTAGAAGGCGACGTGGTGAAAGGAGGAATCCACAGTTTTTTGTTGAAAGACATGTTCATCACACTGTTGGAGTTATGGTTTGGGGTACTATAGCTTATGGTTCCAGGTCACCTTTAATCTTCATCAGAGGTAACATGAACGCGCAGCGTTATATCCACGAAGTTCTAGAACCCCATCTTTTACCCTATCTTGACACCCTGGCAGATCCAACTTTCCAACAAGATAATGCCGTATCCCCAATTGAGCACGTGTGGGATATGATGGGTAGGAGATTGCTCAATTTGCAACGTCCTCCTCAGACTCTAGAAGCACTTCGAGAGGAGTTGGTGGTTGCCTGGAATGAGATATCACAGGAGGACATTGACCACCTGATCAGAAGCATGCCTAGGCGCGTTGGAGAATGCGTAGCACATCAGGGTGCATCCACACATTATTAAAGGTCAAAGGGCTTTAAAGCAGTGCAATCATTTTGAAATTTTTATCATTTACTTATTATGCTTCATTAAGTACTTATACAAAATTTTATTAAAATAAAACCATTTAAACTGGGTGTTCGGATTTATATGTCACTTAGTATACTTTGCCGACGAGCACAATCCGCACTGCTTTCGACACCATAATAAATCTTCAAGCCATCTGAATAAATCAAATGACAATAATCGATATTCTTAACATGTCATTGATAAAAATAATGAAAATCAGAGGTCCCAGGCATGAACACTGAGGCACACCTGAAGTTAGAAATATATTCTTAGATGTGCTTCCTTCGCACTCAATGTATTGCCTCCCACCTGACAAATATGATCTGAAGAGTGTCAGTAAGCTGGAGGATAATCCAGTATTGTCCAATAAGATGTGATCAAATTTGTCAAAGGCTTTACTAAAATCAGTGCTTGTCTGTTGGCATCTAGTACTCCAGAGACAAATTGAGTGAAGCATACTAAATTGATTGTAGATCTGTCTTTCATAAAGCCATGCTGGGACTAACTTATAGTGGACTTGATTGACGTTATGAAATAAGAAAACATGGAGCAAATTTTTAAAGATTTTAGAAAAGTTACAGACTAACGTTATTGATCTGCAATTTTCAGCTAGTCGACTATCTTGAAAAACAGGACGTGCCTTTCATTTACGCCAAGCGTCTGGGAATGTACTGGTCTTTAAGCGTAGACTAAACGTTAATGTTAACTACAAATGATGGCATCCCCATCAAGTGACTGCGGTACGCAACATGCCGGGGTATGCGTCGAACTTACCCAGCAGATATTTCAGTTTGCAACATGTGTCGGGCACTTTTGAGCAGGCACAATGTGTTAAGCGTGCTGACTATCCGCCACAATGTTGCGGCGCAGTTAAACAATCTGCAGACACATGTCGCACATCTACCCGGCACATACTAATAGTATTCTTTTAGACGGAAAATATCCCACCGCCTGGAAAACAGCTCTAATAACTCCAATCCCTAAGGGTAAAGATGTCAAACAACTTGCAGATCTTCGCCCTATCAGTATCTTACCTGGCCTTTCAAAGTTAGTGGAAAAAATAATAGAATTACAGCTACGTGACCACATAACCAGAAACAAAATTTTACCTAGTACTCAGTCAGGTTATCGTCAAGATTATAGCTGTACTACAGCTTTGGCACACATTACAGATGATATTATAACAGCTAATGACAACAGTAACTGTACTGCACTAGTTTTGTTAGATTATAGCAAAGCATTTGATACTATAAATCAAGACGTTCTGATTGCAATACTTGAATCATGTGGGGTATCAGGTCATAATAAATCGTTATTCGAATCTTACCTTAGCGATAGAATGCAACGTGTGAGGATCAATAATAATCTCTCGCGAGTAAGGACAATAAATCAAGGGGTGCCGCAGGGTTCGATACTCGGACCGCTATTATTCACGCTATATACTAGTCAGCTCTCCAAATCCCTTGAATACTGTAAGCCTCACACGTATGCAGATGATACTCAAGTGTGCCTTTCATTCCTTGGTGATGATTGGCCAATGGCGGAGTTTAAAATTAATGCTGATCTTGACGCTCTATTTAAAACTTCTAATGATCATTCAATGTCACTGAATCCAAAAAAATCAGCAGCAATAATTTTTGGGAAAGATCGGTCAGAGATAATGAACAATATGACACTACATATACAGGGTGACTTTGAAGTTGAGTCATTAATTTTCAGGTAATGATTGTAGAAGGAAGATAAACCAAAATATGTGTGTAAAAATAAAAAAAAATAAAAAAAAAATGTTACCTTGTTTTATAAAGTGTCCTCCCGACAAGTATTTCAGTGCGGACCTGTATTTGATCGTGCGATCTTGGAGCACCGGCATGCCCTCCCCTGTGAGGTCTTAAGTCACCTGATTCACGAGCCCTTTGTACTACATTTAGCATTTTCGTAAACATGTGCCATTTTTTATTTCGTTTGAGCCACGCAACAAACACCACTATTCACTCACGCGTTACCGACTGACACATCGATTGAATACAACTGAATAAAATTAGTAAAAACATCGTCTTCATTCTGTCAATATTCATTCGAAACAGAATATTTCTGCTCCATTCCACCGAATATGTTTTTTCGAACGTGGCTTCTCTTACAACATCTATAAATTATACAACTCCATCCCCCAGCAAATCAAAAATATGAAAGGTTGCAAATTCAAGGCAGCTCTGAGACGATTCCTTTTAGATAAGTATAATTAACTTCACTGATAATACTGTAACATTTAGCTTTTTTGGATGAATCTCATGATTATATAATGGAATATTTTCAGTTTTATATTTTCAGTGTTATTTGTTTTTTTTTGTACTCATGCTTTTTTTCTGCTCTCATATAGTTAGAAGTAGGCATGTAACAGTTGATATCACTATTTTAAAATAGAGCAAGGGATGAGTGGAAGAGCACGCAGGTCGTGAACTCCCCCTTGGGATTCGAGAGCAATTATTCCTATTTGTTGAACACTATTTTTGTATGCATTGTCTCTTCGAATAAAGCCATTTATTATTATTATTATTATTATTATTATTATTATTATTATTATATACGGTCTGTAAATTGAGTAATGGGACTTTTTTAATTTTTTTATTCTAATATAATTACAATTTTATATTGTCACCTCAATATAGATTCCTTCTGGAGCCACACAACGCTGGAGACGGTTCTTCCACTACTCATAGCAGTGCTGGAGCTCCGACACTGGAATAGCCTTTAGCTGGTCAGTTACGGCCATTTGAATGTTTTCGACTGTCCCAAAATAAATTTCCTTGAGGTGATTTTTTAATTTCGGGAAAATAAAAAAGTCACAAGGCGAATAAGGAGGCTGAGGAACCACATGAATTTTATTAGCCAATAACTAGTTTATCGGCATTGCTGTGTCATAAGGAGCATTACCGTGATGCATCACCCAATTGTTCGTGATCTAAAGAATGGTGGTGTGAGTCAAATTTAACTCTTTGCCGATCGTTCTGTCAACCGACGATCTAAATGCACAACATCCTGAATTTCGTCTGGAAGATAAAGCCCTTCCGCTTCGTGGTTCATCTTCAATCGATCTCTCGCTTCTGAAAATGCCTTAGCCACCGAAAAACTATCAAAAAACAACCAAATTACTTGAGCGAGTTCAAACTTGTGCTGCACATGTTCCCCTATCTCGCCTCCAAGCCCGGTGCCTCCAGTGTTGCCAGATCGAACACTACGTTGCCATCTCATCACTTAATTTACAGTCCTCGTATACCTTCAACAGTGATACTTCTAAAAAAATATATATTGACTTAAATAATATTCATGGTGTTGTAATACGACATGGGTGTGAGATGAAGTCGTGGGAAAAATAATTTCGTCTATAGATAGAGATTTTATGTCTAAGTTCTCTGTGAATAACGTAACGTTAGGGACTTTCATTCTCATGTCTTTATAGGCAATGGCTACATCGAAGGCACAGAATTGGATGGTTTCCTGAAAGAATTCGTCTCCAGTGCCAACGTTACAGATGTAGGACCTGAGGTATTTTATGTACAGGACTCCAAACAAGACACCAAAATTAATGTTCGATAATATTTGCTTTCAGGCTGTGTCTGATGATATGTTGATAGAACTAAAAGCTTGCTTCATGGAAGCTTACGATGACAATCAGGATGGAAAAATAGATATAAGAGAGGTCAGTAACAACCTTTCATTAAAAACTACTAGCATCTCATTATCCTATCCTATCCTAACTGAATGTGCAATAACGTATGACACATTCCGTTGGAAAAATGTACATGCTTCTTTTTTTTTCAATGGAATATACAATATTTTATTACATATTGGAATAGAACATACAATGTACAGAGACATCCATATACCACTGACGTCGTAAGGTATACGAGAGAGAGAAACGCGAGCAATACTTATATTAGAAAGAGATAGAAGAACCACGTTTCCTAGCAACCCGAGTGACGAGCATTGCCATTAGCGCACTCTCTTTACCTAACATATGAGTGCAATACGCGCGTCTTTCGTCAGTGATATTTGGATTTCCCTGTATAGCCTTTCGGTTATTGGTCGTTGAGTTGTATCTATACTCTAGGGTTATGAAATGCTGATACGGAGCTTCAAAATGAGGTATCAGACAACCGCTTATACCATTTATAAAAAATATTCCAAAATGGCGCTCAGACGGTTGAGGTTTTCAACTGAAACTTTTACGTTAAAATATTGTAAAAAGATAGTATTCATGTATCAATTTCACCATCCCGAATTTCAGCTTTGTATCCTGACCTACTCAAAAAATAAGTAAAAGCGTATATGTCGGATTAATACAAAATCAAATCCTGGTCCCGAATATGAATAGAACTGTTTGTGTTTGGTAATCGTAACAATTGGTAATTATTTTCCAGTTGGCTCAATTACTTCCAATGGAGGAAAACTTTTTGCTACTGTTTCGATTCGACAATCCACTAGATTCGAGCGTCGAATTTATGAAAGTAAGTTGTAAGTACTGCAAAAACATAACGGAACCGATGAAACTTTGGTTGATATTATAAAAAATGGTGAAGCATAAATAGTCCTTATAGGAATATTTAAATGATACTAACCAAAATATATGAATCACCTTTTCAGATATGGAGAGAATATGATACTGATGGCAGTGGCTATATTGAGGCAGATGAATTGAAGGTACGTCTGGTACTTATAGAAATGCTTTAAATATTCTTTTTTGAAACATTGGCATGCCTATTTCATGAAATAATAATTAATTACTCATTATAAGCATGTACTTTGTACTGTAATACTGGAATTACACTGTTTGATTGGAAGCGGTATTGACGATATTGTTATTGTAAATTGTAATGAGAATATAATGGGTGATTTTTTTGCGAGTATCTTTTTGGCAACACTGTTTTTGACAGATGACGCGTGAATCGTGTCTTGTGTCATTGTCAAACTTCTTCAGTTTGGTCTATAATTTAACCATGAATCGACTTACGAACGAACAACGCTTGCAAATTATTGAATTTTACTATCAAAATTCATACTCGGTTAAGAGAGTGCATCGAGCACTGCTTCCAATTTATGGGCAATTTGGTCGGCCTACTGAGGGAGCTATTCGGAAACTTGTGACTAAATTTCGAACCCAGTTTACATTATTGGACATTAAACCACCAACACGCAGACGTAGAGTGAGGACTGCAGAAAATATTGCGGCTGTATCCGCCAGTGTTAGTGATGACCCTGAAATGTCGATTCGCCGCCGTTCGCAGCAATTGGGCTTCTGTTACTTGACTACGTGTAAAATTTTGCGACAGGATTTGGGTGTAAAACCTTATAAGATACAGCTGGTGCAAGAATTGAAGCCACACGACCTCCCACAACGTTTCCCATTTGGTGGGCCATGTTAAGGCTAATGTCTACAGCGATAAACCAGCAACGATTGACGCACTGGAAGGCAATATTGAAGCATTTATTCGTGAGATACCGGCCGATATGATGGAGAGAGTGTTCCAAAATTGGACCTTATGCATGGGCCATCTAAAGCGGAGCCGCGGCCAACATTTACATGAAATAATCTTTAAACATTAAATTATATCGACCGTTCTATCGGCTCAAATAAAGATTTAATCGTTTTTTCAAATTTTTTGTGTTTTTTTTTGAAAATCAACTCCTATACCTCTTAAAAAATCATCCGTTACTTAACTCATCCGACTATAGATTTAAGATAAAACTTTGTATTTGGCAGTAAAAATATTAGAAGACAAATTTTAATTTCTTGATGCTTTTGCAGAATTTTCTTAGAGACCTACTGAAGGAAGCAAAGAAGATAAATGATGTATCCGAGGACAAACTCATCGAATATACAGACACAATGGTAAATAAGCAAACAAAATGATGATTGGAAAATACATAAATGATATTTTACAGCTCCAGGTCTTTGACTCAAATAAAGACGGACGTCTTCAGCTTTCAGAGATGGCCAAGTGAGTCTGGGTGCAATATATATTTGTATCTGATATATACACGTCACTTTTACATCACGTCACTACACAGAGATTTTGTTTAGTGTCCACTTATCCATTTATTTTTTAATAAGTTAAGTTAGCATGTTTAAATTCGGGAAAAGTAAGATTACATAATACATTTTGGATGGGCGCTATATTGGCAAAATAAGATAACATACTGGTGAGTCACGTGGTAATTAACTTGAGGATCCTAATGAGTGCTTTAGAGCACTAGAATATAAAGTACTCTATCTTCCAAAATGTAGGGCTGTGAAAGTTGAGCTCTGTAACCTGACTATACAAGGTTTGTAAATTAAGTGTTGAGACTTTTTTTTAATTTCTTTTATTCAAATATAATTACAAGTCACGCAGCACTGGAGATGGTTCCGTTGCACTGAGCTCAAGTCTGAAGCAAAACCTGATACCTCACCGTTGCTTAAAATTGATGTCACTCATTTTTACATCACGATAGAAAAAACTGTTCTACAAAAAAAAATGCGCCGTATGTAACCAAATGACTCGAGCGAGTTTAAACTCGTACTGAAGATGGATCAAGTGTTCCTCTGTCTCCCCTCCAAGCTCGGTGCCTCTAGCGTTGCCAGCTCGAACGCTACGTTGAGAGTCTCATCACTTAATTTAAAGACCTCATTAAGTTACAGGGTGTCCGCAAAGTTGGCGTTTTCCTTTACACGACGTGTAGATCTTGAAAACATAAGCAATTTTTCTTAGTACCATATACACCAATGTCTTAAGGGAACCGAGATAAAAGGCTCTCAACATCAAAAATATCTGAATACCGTCCTGTAACCGCGATATCACCGAATGGTACAAGGTCACTGGCTCAACCCGACACACTGTGTCAGGTCAGTATGCAACTTCAACCGACGGTTACGGTCACGCGTGTAGAGGTAATCGCGTAGACGAGAATCCCTCAACAAGCACTAGAGACGTAGCTAGAGAAGTGCAAGTGTCAAAAACTAAAGTGTGGCAAACGCTGCGTGAAGAGGTGGTTGTTGCATCAACATGACAATAATCCGGACTTTTTGAAGTGCATATTGGTGACAGACGAATCTACGTTCAAGCGTAATGGGGTGAATAACTTTCGCAACACTCATGTTTGGTCAGTAGAAAATCCGCACGCTGTCCGTTGGGCACATTTTCAACAAACATTTTCGGTGAATGTTTGGGCTGGCATGGTGAACGGTTTGCTCATTGGACCATTTATTCTCCCAAATCGATTGGACGGGATGCAATACCTAGACTTTTTACGCAACATTTTGCCTTCCTTGTTTGCCTGCGTCTGCTCGGTAGCGCATCAGCTGATTTCATTTTCTGTTGGAGCGGTGTGATTTCGGGCAGAGACGTACTTAGCCCTTCTCGTCAACTGGAGAGTGAGTACTTTTTCCTTTATTTTTTTTTTTACTTGGTCGCCCTCGTTTCACTACACATCACCTTTGTTATTTCAAGGGTAGTTGTTTCTGAAAAGGAAAACCCCAACTTTGCGGACACCCTGTATAATCAAAACCGTAGTGTATGTTGTATCAATCATTTTTGGATGGGTATAACCGCACATGCGATAAAATGGGACAAAAAATTCAAAAAAATCGTTATATCTTCTTGAGAAGAATATCTCATACTTTATTTCATATTTGGTTAAACCCTAGTCGTTGAGTTATAAGCCAGTCAGTATACGAAAACTCTCGGCTTTATCAGTCTGAAAGTTCGCCATGTTGAAATATACAGAATGCTAGATTCTGTCACTTTTACAATAAAATGGAATATTTATGTATTGATTTCACCACCCCAAATTTATTTTTATTTTTTTGAAAACCCCTTCTTTGAACGGGTCAAGTTGTCAAGCTGAAATTCGGGATAATTGACATATATATATATATATATATATATATATATCTTAACGTAAAAATAACAGATGAAAATTTGACAGATTTTAGCATACTTTTAATGGAATGGGGGGAAAGTCCTTATGATTAGTTTATAATTCATATAATCATGATCTGTCAACATGGCGGACTGGATGACTGTCAAAAATCAGCGTTTTTGCAACATTGAGTCTATAACTCAAGCACTTTTGGGAGGGTCAATCTGAATATGCAATAAAATGTGGTACATTCGGTTTAGGAAAAATTGACAAAATTTGAACAGTACTGTATAATAGTTGTAAGTTCTAGTAACAATTGATTGATTGTTTTTCATTTCACTCTTTTCTTCTAGAAATGTACAGGCCTCAAACAATTTCATATTTTTTTTTTACTTTTTCAATTAGTTTTATGTGGGAATAGCTTTTTCTTTTTTGTCCCTATTTGAGCACTACCGACTACTAGAAACTTTTTTTGTATATGTAATTTCTCATCACTTTTCATGATTTTATTCGCAATTTCAGACTGCTTCCAGTGAAAGAGAACTTCCTGTGCCGGCAAGTCTTCAAGGTAAGTGAGGTACAGTTTCGAAATTTTAAAACAGTGTCGTTATGGATGTCAAATGTGACACTGTGTGTTTAAAATTTGAACTGGACAATAAAATACATTTCGTTACGTATTTACAAACATACACAATTCAATCGATCAAATATTCAAAATAAGTTATTAGTTATTTGTCAGAAAAAATGAAAGCATTTCGATGGAAGGAAACATATTACAACCAACTATTGCTTCAAAGGCCACAGGTATCAGCCAGGGACGGCCAAAGAAGCCTCTATTGATCTTTTGTTAACTCAATTGACAACTATCGGTCACAATTTATCCGACAAATTTTAACCACATATGCACTGTTACGAAAGAATTTGATTTATCAAAAAAAAAATGTAATACAAGTCCTACAGAAATTAAGTTATAAACGTAAGTTTCAATAATAAATTGAAAAATAAATGTCTGTATTTTGCGTGCATCGTCGTGATATTAGAACACGCATTAATAATTTAATGTACCAAACAACTGACGAAAACAAAATACCAGGAATTCTTTGTTTTTTCATACTGATAAGAACGTGTAAATAAGGTTTAATCTGTATCGTGGGTGATCTAAATGAAGAACGGTCGATTTGTGTGTTAAATAAGAAAGTATTTTGAGAGTCTATGTTTTTAGTTATTTATTAATAAAAATGGCATATGTATACACTAATGAGTTAGTGGACATTGTTTTAGCGTACGGAGGAGCAGGGCAAAATTCGCGAGCGGCTTCTCGTTTGTATGCACACCGAATAGGTACATACCACATCACGAAACATTTAGTTCAATTGTTTTACGTGCACGTGCTAGTGGAGATTTGCGCCCTAGACGTGGAGTGGATGGTGGTCGGTTTCGTCCACAACGCGTTTTAAATGCCGAAGACGAAATTTTGGGTTGGCAGTTAGCCCAACAGGTCCCGAAGGTGCGACATGCAACAGCGTGGCGTATATTACATGAGGCCTAACTGTACCCTTATCACGTCCAGAGAGTCCAGGTGTTGCTACCTACAGACTACCCCCTAAGAGTAAGATTTTGTGAGTGGTTGTTGCAAGAAAATGCTCGAAATGCCCGTTTTACAGCTGATATTTTGGCCACCGAGGAAGCTATTTTTACTCGTAATGGGATAACCAATCCTCATGATACACACGTTTGATCCTTTGAGAATCCTCACGCAGTGGTCGCGACACACTTCCAATATCGTTTTTCTTTAAACGTGTAGGCAGCTATTGTCGATGAACGTCTAATTGGACCGTGCATATTGCCAGATCGGATGGATGATCGCCAGTATTTGGAATTTCTTCGGAATGATTTGCCGGTCCTTCTTGAAGATGTGCATTGGCGGTCCAAGCACTGATGTGGTTTCTGCACGATGGGGCACCTCCGCATTTTCGTTTAGAAGTTCGTGATTTTATGAATCAGGTATACCAGATACGCTGGATCGAAAGGGGTGGACCAATTCCATGGACTCCACGGTCTCCCGATCTAAATCCTCTGGACTTCTTTTAATGGGGATACTTGAAAAACGAGGTATACCGTACTCCAGTTCAGAATATTGAAGAATTGCGTGACCGAATCACAATGGCTGTCGAGAATTTGAGCCTTCAGGCACAGTCGGAAGGAGGTGTATTTGAATTGATGCGCCGAAATTGGATTAGACGCGTCCAAGTTTGCATTGCAGTCAATGGAAACAATTTTGAATAGGTTTTATAAGTGAGTGAACTATTAAACTGTATTATTTTATTATCTCGATTTCTGCAGCACTTTTATTATATTTTATTTATTTATTTTTTTTGAGAAATCTACTTCTTTCGTAACAGCATATGTGGTAAATTTTTTTCGGATAAGTTGTACCTATATGGCCGAGAATTTCTATTCTGAGTGAAACCTTGTTATGCCTGGCTATTGAATAATTACATTGTTAACTAGATACCTAACGACGTGTTTGACATCAAGTTAGTCCTTTTTGGACAATACCCAATAAAATAGGACACTACAAAATTTACTCAATTGCAGTGGTTTGATATACGAACAACAGTAGGCTACATCTTCTATTTTCCAGTATTATTTTCCTCCTGTCTTCACTTTATGCACTATTCTAACAAGGGCAATGCACATATTAAAAGATATCGGACTCTATGAGGAATAAGCTGAGAGGAGCGATGCTATTTATTGAATATTTTGCAGACGCGTTGTGGCATATACAGGGTTTTCAAAGAATGTAGGGTAGTCCTGCAACTACAAATAGGTCATGAGATGACTATTATACCGAAATTTTGTTTTAGTAAAATTTTTCAATTTGTTCTTTTGTTGAAAATCACGAGCAATTTCTACAAAATATTAACCGCTTTGGATCAGCTTTGATTCGATACCCTGTAGTATGAAAGTATCAAGTATGATCGCCATAAATAAACCAAAAAGTTGGGTAGTTAAGGTAAAATTGTAAGTGGTGGTGTTATTGGTATTCCCGCTTTTCTTTTAACTACAATTGTAATGAACATATTTCACTTATATCAAGACATTGTTCTTATGCCATTGATACAAATAAAGAGCAGGATTGAATTTGAATGATTATAGGTATTATATTAAACTGATTAGAGCACCTTTTCGAAAGGTCGACCAATTGCTATTTTACATGCTTAGCATATTTTCGTAAAACGTCAATAAAAGAAAGGGATCATGTGTATGGATATATATGAGTATTGCGTACGGTGTCCCCCTTAATGAGAGTGAGGCATCCATAAGATTTAACAGTTCACGAACAAAAAGCGTCCTAGCGCTCAACCAGTTTCGATGCATGGCCGAGTTCTGCCAAAGAGAAGTTGATTTCTGCTGGTCGGAGTCCAGATCACCGAGGACTTGATCTGGCACGAACACATCTCGTCGATAGCGGCAGCTGCTGGGAAAAAGCTAGGCTATTTGTTTAGGGCTAAGAAGTACCTTTCTGTACACGACCTGGCTGTGCGATTGATCGATTACTCTTCTCTAACAGACAGTCTCGGGGCCCTTTCTTACTGGCGGGTCGTCGGCGACCTAGCTCTTTTCTACCGCTACGCCATCGCGCTTTGCTCCTCAGAGCTCTCTTCATCCTAACCGTGTCGAACTTCCTGCAACCAGAACTGGTGGATACGACCGCTCGTTTATCCCTAGGATGTCAAAATTGTGGAAAAATCTACAAGAGGGGGCTTTTCCCAGTTCTACTAACCTTAAGGCGGTGACTGACCGAGCGCTGTTATGCTCAGATCGAGCGTTACAATACAAAGTCCGTGATTTGAGTCCAGCGTATGTTCACTTGGAATTCTAGGCTCAAGAGTGCTCCACATTTTTCTACCGCAGTCTGTGTTGAAATGTCAGACCTAGAAGTAGTTAGTGTTGCGTTCAAAATCGAAAAAATCTACACTCTGTGATGATCTTTTAGTTCCCATTATTATAAATTTAAATTTTGCCTCAATTTTATTTTTATTATTAAATTCTGAATATTGTTGCTTTAAATTGTTGCCTAAAATTTAACGCCAACTGCTTCACTTTCTTTACAAACAAGTATTCAAATTTAAATCTTTTCTCAATTTTGTTGACTGTACTGAAAAAAAAATATACTACTCTAGACTGGCAAGTAATTTTAATAGTTGGCACATTTAAAAAGGATTCCAAAGTGGTATGACACTTCCTAGATTATTTATTGATTTATGGATTATTTTATTGTTTGTAAAGATTTTCAGTTTTCCACATATTTTTCTTAATTACTTAATATTATTCTAGTGTATCCACGGCTTTCCTCGGAGTGAGTGAGTGAGTCAGAAAGAGGGAGCTAAAGCAGCTGGCGTTCAATTTTAGGCAACAATTTGCAGCAGCATTGTTCAGGATTACCTAATAAAAATAAATTTTTTCCGATTTTTTTAAGCCTAAAATTTGGAAAGTACACGTTTTTTCATTTTCCTTCTTATAACTATTATGATTTGGTCTATGCCCCATTTCCGGCTTGACGTCGACGTCTGTGACGCCCTGTATATTGTTGAAGTAAGTCACACAGTCTTACCCGTTCCTGTGCCTTTGCTTTTACATATTTAGCCTTTCTGTCTCCTCAGAGAAGCTAACAAACTTGTAATTTTACGTTTACACTCATCAAGCGAAGTTTCTGTTTCTGCAGCTATCTGTTGCCACGTATCGTGTTTCTTGATTTTGTTATAATATTCCGCATGTTGCGGATCCCTTTTAATGCGATATAAATCAATAAAGAATAAAGTTTTCTCCTGGGACCACTCCATTGATAACGTGTGTTCAGAGCTCTATCTCAAATATCAACTAATAAAATAAGTAGATTGCAGAGACTGTGCTCACAGACGAACTAGTCGCCACCTGTACTGAATTGTAACCATCAGAGGGATTCATCAAAAAACCGACTGTCAAGTGGAGCACGATTTGCTCGACGTGAGCGGCTCTGTTCGGCGTTCGTTTATGTTGGCTCGCGCCGTACACACCGATTCGAGCACCTCCAAATCTGTAACCTTATGTGCATTGGCTTGCGTTGGAATCTCAGTCTGTACGCGGCTTTAGCGATTCACTAGCGAATTTGTGTGTTACATTACATTGAATTACAGCGCTCGGCTTCAGTCAGTTGCCGCCTTTAAGGCAGTTCAAAAATCGGATTAACAAAGTTTCTTTGGGATCTTCATAGCGGCCGCGGTGTCCTGGCATTTAGGCTTCTGTCTGCTTGCCTCGGTATCATTTTAATTTATTTACACTGAACTAGGTGTAAATAAGGCAAACTGATTTTTGCAGCATGACTACTTGGGCATATCACATTTGGTCATATCAAGGTCACTTCAATTACAACCAATATTTGTGAAGGTGAACATCCAGAAGTGGAAGAAGCTTTGTACATGTGGTTTCTTCAGGAAAGAAATAGGCATGCACCAATTTCAGGACCCTCGTTGGCCATGAAACCTAAGTTTTTTTATAAGGAAATAACAAAAAAATATGATTTTG